TTTTTTTTTTTTTTTTTTTTTCAACGTTTATTTATTTTTGGGACAGAGAGAGACAGAGCATGAACGGGGGAGGGGCAGAGAGAGAGAGGGAGACACAGAATCGGAAACAGGCTCCAGGCTCCGAGCCATCAGCCCAGAGCCCGACGCGGGGCTCGAACTCCCGGACCGCGAGATCGTGACCTGGCCGAAGTCGGACGCTTAACTGACTGCGCCACCCAGGCGCCCCTGGGATTTTTAACTTTAAGCTCTCCTTCCCAGCTGCCTCTATTATCATCACGGACTAGAGATGCTATGTGTTCAGCCACAGCTTAACATAGCTTAAGGCAGAAGCCCTCGGCCCAGCCCGGGTCCCAAGCAGGCCCAGGTTTAGAGCAGGATTGTTAAGTGCTGAGCGGAGTGTGGCTTGATGACTCTGTTCCTCCAACTTCCTTCTTCACCCCCCTTTGCTCTGACTGGTTCTGGGAAGCTTCCCTGTGCCGGGGACAGGTAGCTGGGGGTACCAAGGTGGCAGGAAGGAGGACGTGATTTTCCTCACCTCCCTACCAGCCAGGACACCGCAGTGAGGTACAGAGCAGGAAACAGGGACACAGAGAAAGACGAGGAGGAGACGCACTGCAAGGGAGGAATCAGTTAGTGTCTACACTGCGCTGAGAAGAGGACTTTCCCAGAGACAACAGATAAGAAGGGAGAGTTCTTAGTATAATCTGGCAAAGAAGATTCATCAAGGAAGGAAATGCCAAAGGCACACAAACGTTTTGAGCAAAAGTAGCAGGAGTTCTACTTTCTTACCTGTTTGCGTATGCACAAATGTTATCTATGAGTGAGAGATTCTTCAAAGCTGCCTCTACCTTCCCAAGAGAAACATATTCTCCTGCCTGGAGTTTCACAAGGTCCTTTTTACGATCTGGGGAGGGGAGCACATGAGAGATAGTAACAGTCATACCTATGAATACTGGCCATTCCCGAAGTCATGTGCTATCGATTAAGGTCATTACAATAGTTACACTAAAATTAAAGGTACATAGTAAAATAAGACCCTAATGTTTGTAGTTTTAAATAAACTCTTCCAAAAAAGAAAATCCGCTTCTGACAAGGGACCCTGTCATCAGGGCCCAGGTACGTTCTGCCGAACAGGCATGTGTCTGGGACCAGTTAACACCAGGAAGGTAAAGACTTCTCAGCGCCATCTGAAGGCTCACACACCGTCTGGAGAGCAGCGTGAGCAGGGACACATCACGTCAGGACAGTATGGCAGTGGTGAAGTGTCAAGCCTCCCCAACCTGCTGCTTTGGAAAGAATGCCTACAAGTGAGGCCTGAGCGGAGTCCTGAGGGAAGACCGGACGGTCACCAAGTAGAAGAGCACTGACTGGTAAAGAACACAGACGGGGCGGACACAGCCAGTGATGGAGGTGGAGGCGAACTGGGGCTCCGTTAACAGAGGTACACCGAACTGAGCCCCTAGCAGCAATGTGGCCCAGTGAGATCAGTGCTGAGGAATCACACGGTATGTGTGTGTATATGTGAGAGGGTGTGTTTCAAGAGGGATGTCAACGTCAACAGAGAGGAACTTCTTACAACGAGGTGACAGAAGGTGTAAGCCTGATCATGGGAAGAGGGCACAGAGAACGAAGAGAATGGTCTTGAGGCATGTTTCACATGACACATCAGTAGGGTGTGGGCAAGATACGAGGAGTTGACTGAAGAGTCTCATCTCCTCCTGGGTTTCTAGGTAGCATGACTGGAACAGAAATGCTATTATGAGAAAAAGAATGTAAGAGGGAAGACGGGGAGCTATTTTTTGCCCCTGGGGGGGTCAATACTCGAACTGCCAGGCCTTCCTCACAGGCAAGGCCACGACACCATTCCAACAGGAGAGAGCCCTGTCCAATAACGTCTAAACAGCAAAGAATGCACAAAAAATAAATATTTCCTACTAAGAATTTGATTCTTTGAGGGTTATCTAATAATTCAAAATACCACTGCTATTGAACAGACTGAGACCTTCTAAAATGTCAAGCCTTAAAACTCCCACACAGTCCCTAGTATAAAATTTTATATTCCAGGGATGATACAATAGACCGTATCAACACTGCAGAAAGATACATTCTTATATTATTGAACAGCTTCCCTAAATAAACAGTTATCTCTTTTGTAAAACTATTTCCAAAACGTCCACTATCAGGGGGAAAAAAAAAAAATGAGATAGCTCACCAATAATCTTTAAACAACCATCAGGGTCAAACTCCCCGACATCTCCAGTACAGAGCCACCTCTGTCCATTTTCATCTTCAAAGAAATCAGCTTTTGTTTTTGCTTCATTTTTGTAGTATCCCATTGTCACATTTTGACCGCCAATAAGAATTTCACCCCTGGGGTGTGGTTTATCGGTATTAAAGTATCCACCTAGAAAACACAAATAATTTAGAGTTAATTCAACATTTTTATCCCTAGGCCCATCATGTGAAAATTTGAAACTATGAGTGTCTAAATGGGGAACATCTGATTTCAATCCAAAGAGTTTCCCAAAAAAAGTAAGGCAGACAGCATGAATGAGCAAAACCCATTAATATAAAACTAGGTACAAATTTTCAGTTGCTTAACCGTAAGCACTTCTGCACTTAAAACCACTAGTCCAAGAAAAAAAATTACACCGAAAAATCCAACACTTGCGGTATTAAATAATTACCTAGACTACACAGGTAAATCCTTTAGGGATTCTGTAGAGATTCTTACACATCTGATGAAAGTATTAAATCACATATTTAATAAATACCTCTCTGTATAAAATCAAAATTACACTGTATTTAAAAGATTTATGCCTGGGGCGCCTGGGTGGCGCAGTCGGTTAAGCGTCCGACTTCAGCCAGGTCACGATCTCGCGCTCCATGAGTTCGAGCCCCGCGTCAGGCTCTGGGCGGATGGCTCGGAGCCTGGAGCCTGTTTCCAATTCTGTGTCTCCCTCTCTCTCTGCCCCTCCCCTGTTCATGCTCTGTCTCTCTCTGTCCCAAAAATAAATAAACGTTGGGAAAAAAAAAAAAATTAAAAAAAAAAAAAAAAGATTTATGCCTTATAGATAATTTCAGAATGATTCCAAGTTTAAATTTATTGAACATTTTCACTAATTCTGCTAAAAGATAATCGGATAATGGCATCTAACCCTCAGAATCTTTACTTTGAATAAAAGAAAAGTGCATCTAATCCAATCAGTGAAAATGTATACACATTAACTGAAACAAATAATTTTTTTAAAAAAGTGACTAGTATTGGGGTGCCAGGGTGGCTCCGTCGGTTAAGCATTCAACTCTGGCTCAGGTCACGATCTCACAGTTCGTGAGTTCAAGACCCACATAGGGCTGGCTCTGTGCTGACAGCCTGGAGCCTGCTTCGGATTCTGAGTCTCCCTGTCTCTCTGTCCCTCCCCTGCTCATGCTCTGTCTCTCTCTCTCTGTCAAAAATAAACATTGAAAAAAAATTTTTTTTAATAAATAAAAAATAAAAAGTGATTAGTATTTAAATGGTATAAGCAACAGATTTTTATGAAATTACAGTAAAACTTTCCTTCTGATGACTCTAGATTGAAGTCCTCAGGGGAAAAGAAAGAAAAAAAATGTACAAATCTTCCATTTCATAGACTACACTTCATGATTTTGCTTCCATACAATACACTTATGATCATTCCTAATTTATGGACATTATTCATTAAGCAGATTTCTCAAGTTTTTGCTATAATTCTTATTTGCATTTATGCAGTAAGACAATAAGCAAAATGAAAACAATTCTATTTCTTCAGAATCATCCTTGAAACAAGAAAAAGAAACGCATTTGCATGGATCCCGGTAGAGCAGTTCTATCACAAAAGACACGAGCACTCGTGGGTAATTTTATATTCTAGAATAAGGATGAAAATGAAGCACAATTCCCATTTTAAAGTCGAAAATGACAACAGCGAACGCCCTGTGGGGACAACAGACTATTTACCTTCCTCCCAGTTCTTCAGTTTGATTTCACAGCAAACTAATGGTGCTCCCACTCGGCCAGTATTGTAGTCCCATACTAAAGACACAAATGAAAAAAAAAAAGTATTTGACTAGAGTGGTAAATAAACAGTTTCCTTTTTCTGAATTACCAAAAGTGATGACTTATCCCAAAGCTTTCACATCCCCAGGGACTCTTTAAAAGCAGGAGTCACGAACTGGTAAACCACAAGCCGTGTGGCCTTGTTCTGTGTTTTGATTCTGAACTGGTTATGGACATTTGAAAATCCAGGACATTTTACACAGAAGTGTGGGATCTCCAGGAGAAACAGGGTCCACATCCCCAGCAGCAAGTGTGGCCCCTTGAGATGGCCACGCCTGATCCAGGTCCCCCAGACTCCTTCCTTACACCCATCGTGTATTCTCTTACCTCGGGGCTCACTCCACTCCCCGCAGTGGCTGTCTGCTTCCTGAGTCTAGAGCCCCGCTCTGTAAAGGATGATGGCTCACGATGGTTTACACCTATTCTGCTTTCTTATTAGACCTGATGGCTTTGTAGTACAAATGACCTCTCCTGCCTTCTCCCTCCCACCCATCACTATTTCAGAGAGAGCTTCCCCGAATCAGCATACGCTATCATCTGTTTAAACTCATGCAGTGAGAGTTCAGAGATCAGTCTGGAGATCAAGGTTGGCTTGCAAGGATCTGGGAAAAGCACACACAGCATTACTGTGAATTGCTACTGTGCTATGTGCCCTTCTCAGGGGCAAATATCAGAAATAAAAGGCTTATCTTTAATACTTTACAGGCTGTTTTCTTTACACCATAAACTGTAACCAATTAATCACATTCAACGTGAATCTTAAAAACAGAAGACGTAAGGATCCTCAGAAGAAAGGAAGCATATATGCACATATTTAAGGTTGCTTGTTTATTTCCTGCAAAATGAGACTGAGAAGTAGCTTCCAAAATACAGAAAATATCACTGAAAACAGGAAAATACAGAAGTAATGCCAGATAAATCTGCCGTAAGAATGGACCACTGAAACAACTCAGCTAAGTAGGGGAAAATGATCAGTTAAAAACTTGAGTATCTGTGAGTACCTAGAAAATGCAAAGCAGCTTTTGTTAGTAGTGAGAAGCAAAGTAACTTCCCTCCATAAAAGGGACAGACACATAAAGCACTTTGGGATTCATCACCTACTTGGATAGTGGATCACCTCTTCAACCACGTCACCAGGACACAGAAATACTCTGGAATTTATATTCTCATACCCTGGAAATTATATTTTCTGGAACTGAATCTAGTTTCCCTCTCACACAGACCACGCCCATAAACCACTTCTGAGTTTAAGCCTTAATATACACACCTAAACAACTCTACAAAACATGGCAATTTTTCTACACAAAAAGAAACTTCTTGCCTGATATAAGAAAATAAATGTATATAATAAAGACAATGCTTGTTACTACAACTTCTTTTCCAGAACGCTAAGTAGCTTTTAAAGGACACATTGTAGGGGCGCCTGGGTGGCGCAGTCGGTTAAGCGTCCGACTTCAGCCAGGTCACGATCTCGCGGTCCGTGAGTTCGAGCCCCACGTCAGGCTCTGGGCTGATGGCTCAGAGCCTGGAGCCTGTTTCCGATTCTGTGTCTCCCTCTCTCTCTGCCCCTCCCCCGTTCATGCTCTGTCTCTCTCTGTCCCAAAAATAAATAAACGTTGAAAAAAAAAAAAATTTAAAAAAAAAAAAAAAAAAAAAAAAAAAAAAAAAAAAAAAAAAAAAAAAAAAAAAATAAAAAATAAAGGACACATTGTAGTCTAACAGGAAAAATTCCTTCAACTACTGACTACTAGGTGTAGCTGATACAGTCTGAATACTGTATCAATAATCACCATCATCCTGCACACAGATACCTTAACCGCTCTCATCGGATACACTGCCCAAAACAACCACCACCACATGGTGCCTGGAGCTGCACCCCAGTCTCTGCCGGCCACACCAGGCATTGATAACACCAACCTTCCGTAATCGTTCCTGCACCAGAAGATTCGGTGAGTCCGTACCCCTGCCCCACGGGACAGCAGAAACAGATGTTCATGAACCGCTGTGTGGTTGCAGAAAGTGGAGCGCCTCCACACAACAGAAGCCGAATGTTTCCACCTAGCAAGCCTCGAACTTTTCGAAAAATAAACCTTGCAACAAATAAAAATAAAAATAAATAAGCAGAGAATCACAGGATTTTAAAGCTGAGTGGGATTTTCCAAAGTGATCTCCTGACTCTGAGAGTCAGGCTCACCCAAGGCCACACCACCCATTCGGGAGATTCTCTGACCCACTACTTAAATCCTAACTCTTGTAAGTTCAACCACCAAGTAAAGAACATAATGACTTTTCTCTTAACTTTTCAAGTAATGTTTGAATTCAAAATTGTCAGGTTTAACTTTGTATAGTGATGGCAAACCCTTGCTTATGGCCAGAGCAATTAGTTTTATATTCTATAATATATATATTAAAACTGAATAATCCTGTTGGATCTTAACACAATGCTTTTAATTTAGCATTAACATTTAGTTTATTTTTGAGAGACAGAGTGTGAGCAGGGGAGGGGCAGAAAGAGAGGGGGACACAGAATCGGAAGCAGGCTCCAGGCTCCGAGCCATCAGCCCAGAGCCTGACGCGGGGCTCGAACTCACGGACCGCGAGATCGTGACCTGGCTGAAGTCGGACGCTTAACCGACTGCGCCACCCAGGCGCCCCTAAAAAAATTTTTTAAAAAAGCAAATTATTTTTTGCTTTTCATTAGAAATGTGTACATATTTGAATGACCTAACTCTTTTTAAAAATTTCACTGGATTCTGAAGTGTTTATTGTTTTTAAGATGTCTGCTAAATTAATGGGGCACGCCTGGGAGGCTCAGTTGGTTGAGTGTCTCTTGATTTCGGCTCAGGTCACAATCCCACGGTCATGGGGTCCAGCCACGTGTCGGGCTCCAGGCTCCGTGCTGAGCATGGAGTCTGCTTAAGATTCTTTCTTGCTCACTGTCTCTGACCTTCTCCCCCAACTGCGTGCTGTCTACAATGAATGAATGAATGAAAAAAAATGTCTGCTAAATTAAAAAAAATAAAATTCAAATATCTAATTAAAATATTTCTGGAAAGATACTAATAAAAAGATTACTTGCTAATCTTTATCAGAAAAAGAGAAGGGCTTTTTTTTTTTTTTAAATATAACTCTGGAAAAGGTGAAGACTAAGCAGCAATCATTTAAAAAGTATTAACAGGCTTTGGGGCACCTGGGGGGCTCAGTCACTTGAGTGTCCAACTTCGGCTCAGGTCATGATCTCACAGTTCGTGAGTTCGAGCCCCACATTGGGCTCTGTGCTGACAGCCCAGAGCCTAGAGCCTGCTTTGAATTCTGTATCTCCCTCTCTCTCTGCCCCTCCCCAGCTCATGCTCGATCTCCTACAATAATAAACATTAAAAAATAATAATAAATAAAATTTCCAGTTATGTTATACGTGTATACATGTGTATATACATACATATATATATACATATATATATGTATGTATATACACATACATATATATACATACATGTATGTATGTTAACAGGCTTTACAAAGTAGGTTATATATCCCACTAAGAAAAAAGCTAAAATAAGGCAGGAAAAAAAGCCAAAGTTTTAAATAAGGTGGAGTATCTGAAAACTATATTAATATTCTCATAAAAACAAATTAAATGTTGGGGCGCATGGGTGGCTCAGTCGGTTAAACGTCTGACTCTTGATTTCAGCTCAGTTCATGATCCCAGGGTCATGGGATCAAGTCCCATAATAGGCTCCACTCTGAGTGTTGGGCCTGCATAAGATTGTCTCTCTCTCTCTCTCTCTCCTCCTCCACTGCTTGCTCTCTCTCTCTCTCTCTCTCAAATAAAAATAAAAAATAAATAGATTTTAAAAAGTTAAATGTCATCCTTTGTGTTCTAATTTCTAAATCATTTACAATTAAATCTATTTAAATCTATCAGCACTACAAAAACAAAATAACAAATAATAAGGCTGGTGGTAAAACCTGTCATTTAACACTTTAAACACAAAACATTTACTCATATTTGGTTGCCATTTTATATTCATATTGAAATAAATTTAAAAGCAAAGAGAAAATATTTCTCAACTAAAATCACATACCACATAATGTGTCAACAAAAAATAAAAGCACACATTTTTTTTAAGTTTATTTACTTTGAGAGAGAGAGAGAATGGGGGAGAGGCAGGGGGAGGGGCGTGTGGAGGGAGGGAGGGAGGGAGAGAGAGGGACAGACAATGGGAGAGAGGCAAAGAGAAAAGGACAGAGGGAGGGAGGGAGGGAGGGAGGGAGAATGGGGGAGAGGCAGAGAGAGAGGGACAGAGACAGAGGACAGAGGCAGAGAGAGAGGGACAGAGACAGAGAGAGGACAGAGGAAGAGAGAGAATCCCAAGCAGGCTCCACAGCCAGAGCAGAGCTGGACACAGGGCTCGATCTCCTGAACCAAGAGATCATGACCTGAGCCAAACTCAAGAGTCAGATGCTAAAGTGACTGAGCCTCCCAGACGCTGCAGAAGCACGCTATTAAACACAGGAAAACTGTAAATGAAACATTTTTTCAAATAATATTGCAATATTTTTAATTGCTCATATTCTTATGCAAGATGGTGTTTTATAGTCCCTTTGACTTTTTAAAACAAATTCTTACAACTATGTCAATTAACTGGGCTAGTAATAAGAAAAAATGATAAGTTACCAAAGAGAGGGGGAGTCTACTGACCTGTCACACAGAGGGGTGCCATGCCCTTTTGAAATCTGCTCCATTTTGTAATTATAGGCCAGAATAAACAGATTGCGCTGGAAACTACTCATTTCATTCACTTTATTCATGACATTTTTGTAGATCCGATCCATGATTTCCTAGATATATAAAAATGAGTTAATATAATCAATAATGCTATCAGGTGTCTTATATATTACATCTTCACAACAGATAAATATTTCTATCAGTACTGAGGCATTTTAAAAACTATATTCTAAGAGGAACAAACTTTTAAAATAGAGCCACAACTAGTTTAAAACTGAGGTTTCTATAAAAATAATTTTTCATAGCACAAATATACCTAGATGCTCATAGGAGTAGTTAAAAGAAAAAAGAAAAGCCTTAGGGCAGTAATGTTATCATTACTGATTTTTATATTGCCTTGCTTATAAAATAAGCAACTGTCAGGGCACCTGGGTGGCCCAGTCGGTTGAGTGTCCGACTTCGGCTCAGGTCACGATCTCACAGCTTATGAGTTCGAGCCCCGCGTCAGGCTCTGTGTTGACAGCTCGGAGCCTGGAGCTTGCTTTGGATTCTGCATCTCCCTCTCTCTGTGCCCCTAGCCCACTCGCATTCTGTCTCTGTCTCTCTCAAAAATAAATAAACATTACAAAAATTTTTTTTAATAAATAAATAAAATAAGCAACTGTCTTATTTTAGAAAATAAATGAACTAAATAAATGAACAGCTATATGAAATGGTTTCTTAAATTCTCATACCTTAACTTATAAAAATACAGCCTCACTTTGCTGATAAAAGGATCATAGGGTTGGGGTGCCTGGCTGGCTCAAGTCAGTTAAGTATCCAACTTCAGCTCAGGTCATGATCCTACGATTCGTGGGTTCGAATCCTGCGTCAGGCTCTGTGCTGATGGCTCAGAGCCTGGAGCCTG